TCTGGTTGTCGGAAGGTCCGGAAGGTCGGAAGCACCAAAAGGAAGGTACTAAATGGAGTTTTCCAGTCGGTGTGCTACCCTGTGTGGTGTAGTGTACTAAACACTGCGAAATACGCTAAGCTGATGGAGACTTCGCAGTATATCCAGCGTATAATAGGACAGTTTCGAATGAGGCTCTATATGTCATTTTAGATAGGAGTTGTTTATCTAGTCATATAAACTGCAAAAATGTATTAATAATAATTTGAAAATACTTCATGAAAAAGAAACATCTCAGCCAACGAACAACATAGATAAAAAATGGCAAAACGTAAAAATGGCGATAACAGGTCCTGCGAAGAAAATTCTGACTAAAGAAAAACCAAAAATAAAGAAAAGGTGGATGACTGATAAGATCCTTCTTCTCATGAATAATCAGAGAATAATGAAAGGAAAAAACGAACAAAGGTATAAACAAATACAGAAAGAAATCAAAATAGAAATCAGAATAGCAAAAAAAGATTTTTTATAAAAGAAAATGTGAAGAAATAGAGCAATTGCAGACAAAACAAGATTATTTTAATGTACATAAAAACGTGAAAGAACTTGCAGGTACACAAAAACGTAAGCAGCCAAATACCCTGTATAATGTCAACGGAAACATAATAACAGAACTAGAAGAATAGGTTAAGACATGGAAAAACTATATTAAAGAACTCTTTGCAGATGATAGACAACAATCTGAGCTAAGTAACATACAAGGAGACGAAGGTCCAGAAATTATGGAACAGGAATTAATATACGCACTAAAAAGAATGAAAAATGGTAAAGCTCCAGGTCCAGATGAAATACCAACGGAAATCCTTAAAGTAATAGAAAAAGATTCGATTCACATTTTAGTTGAACTTTTCAATAGCATTTATACATCAGGAAAAATACCACAAGAATGGCTTTTATCCATCTTTGTTATTATACCAAAAAAGATAAATGTCAAACAATGTAGTGATTACCGTACAATCAGTCTGATGAGCCATGTACTGAAAATATTCCTGAAAATTATACATTCTAGAGTACACAGAAAACTGGAAATGGACATCAATAATACCCAGATTGGATTCCGAAATGGACTCGGAACAACAGAGGCGTTGTTAGCACTGAACGTTAAATCTAAAAAATGTCTTGACATAAATCAAGATGTATTCATGTTTTTAATAGATTACAACAAGGCCTTTGATAAAGTGCGGCATGATCACCTAATCAGACTCCTGACAGAAAAGAATTTAGATAAACGAGACATTCGACTAATATGTACTACAATCTTGTACTTGATGAACTTAATGTCTTATACTTGGTGAACGAAACGACAGAGGGGATCGTCTAATAGAATTTTGCCAGGAGCACAATGTTATAGCCGCAAATACATTCTTTAAATTACCTAAGCGACGCCTTTATACATGGAAATCGCCAGCTGACAAAGACAACAAAATCGTCAGAAATCAAATTGATTACTTCCTAATAAAACACAGATATCGAAACTCAATTCAGGCAGTAAAGGCATATCCAGGAGCGGACGTATCTTCTGATCATAGTCTTCTTATTGCTAGATTTCAACTTCAACTAAAAAAGACACAAAAAAGCCGCAATAACAATAAACAACATACAGAAACTAAAGTCAGAAGAAACAAAAGAAAATCTGAAACACGAAATCAACACAAATCTAGACAGAAACCCAGGAAATAACTGCAACGTAGAGCAGCAGTGGCAATTCTTCAAAACCTCTATATTGGAGCCAAGTAAGAAACTACTTACAACAACTAAATATAAGAAAGAAGAATGGATGACAGAAGAAATTCTAGAGTTGATGAATGAAAGGAGAAAAAACAAAACCATCAATAAGACGCGCTATAAACAGCTTCAAAACTAAATAAGAAGAAAAATTAGGGAGGCTAAAGAGACCTACTTCTCTGAAAAATGTAAAGAAATAGAAGAACTTCAAAACAGATATGACAACTTCAACCTACATAAAAAAGTCAAAGAACTAGCCGGAGTAGGAAATAGAAGAACCTCAAATATATTGCTCGACAAAAATGGAAATATTATATTGGAAACAGAACAAAAACTACGACGATGAAAAGAGTACATCGAAGAATTATTTCATGACCAGAGAGAAGCTAGTACATCTGTAGATAGCCAAACGGGAGATGTAGGTCCAGAGATAACCAAATCAGAGGTTAGTCAGGCATTAAACTCAATGAAAACCAATAAATCTGCTGGTCCAGATGAATTACCAAGCGAGCTACTAAAGTTGGTCAACGAGAAAAACCTGGACATAATAGTAGAACTGTTCAACGCTATCTATACTACGGGAATCATTCCTAGAGAAATGTTGACATCAGCATTTGTGTGTTTGCCAAAGAAAGTGAATGTCAAAGAATGTAGTGACTATCGAACCATAAGCTTAATGTCACATACCTTGAAAATTCTCTTGAAAATTATCCACGCCAGAATACACTCTAAACTGGAGCTGGATATTAGTGACACTCAATATGGGTTCCGCAATGGTATGGGTACCAGAGAGGCATTATTCTCCTTCAATGTGCTGACACAGAGATGTTTGGATGTTAACCGTCCTCTTTACGTCTGTTTTATAGACTACAATAAAGTGTTTGATAAAGTAAAACATGATCGACTCCTGAAAATTCTAAAAAATAAAAACCTAGATGAAAGAGATTTAAGGCTAATAACATACCTCTATTACAATCAGCGAGCAATAGTAAGAATCGAAAAAGAAACATCTGAAGAAATGGAAATAAAGAGAGGAGTCAGGCAAGGCTGCATTCTATCACCTCTATTATTTAACGCCTATTCTGAAGAGGTAATTCGAGAAACTCTGGAAGATGAAACAGTCGGCATAAGAGTAAATGGAGTCTTAATTAACAACATCAGATATGCATATGATACAGTAATAATAGCCGATAGTTTACAAGACCTGGAAAGACTCATGAGCAAAATAGCCATTTGTAGTAGGGAGTACGGACTCTCTCTTAATGTCAAAAAGACGAAGTTTATGAAAATTTGTAAAAACAACTATAATACTAACGAAATCTTGATAGTAGAGGGCCAGCAGATCGAAAGAGTAAAAAAGTACACTTACCTAGGAACACTTATAACAGAAAATAATGACTACACGGCAGAAATCAAAGTCAGAATCGAAAAAGCACGTTCTAATTTTATAAAAATGAAAAAGGTCCTATGTGGCAAAGATCTAACATTAGCTCTTAAAGTACGCCTAACAAAATGTTACGTATACAGTGTACTATATTATGGAGTGGAATCATGGACGATAAATCTAGATACCATGAGACGACTTAACGCCTTTGAAATATGGACCTATAGAAGAATTATGAGGGTTTCCTGGGTAGATAGAGTTACAAACAATGAAATACTAAGAAGAATAGGCAAAGAGAAGGAAATTGAACTTACAATGAAAGAAAGAAAGCTACAGTATCTCGGACATGTGATGCGGGGCGATAAGTATGGCATCCTGCGACTCATAATGCAAGGAAAAATAGATGGCAGAAGAAGCATCGGAAGAAGACGAATTTCATGGCTGAAGAACCTGAGAGAATGGTTTGGATGCAGGTCAAAACAACTATTTAGAGCTACTGCCTCAAAAATTAAGATAGCTATGATGATTGCCAACCTCCGTAGCGGAGATGGCACCTGAAGAAGAAGAAGTACTACAATCAGAAAGCAGTAGTGAGAGTAGAGAATAATACCACTGAAGAAATTGAAATAAAGCGAGGTGTGAGACAAGGGTGTATACTGTTACCAACCCTGTTTAATCTCTTTTTCGAAGACGTAATGAATAAAACACTCTCTGAGCAATCAGTAGGTATTAAAATAAATGGTGTTAGATTAAACAATCTTAGATTTGCTGACGACACCGTTCTGATCGCAGAAACACTTGAAAAGCTACAGACATTTATGGTAATATCGAAATCAACACAAAATGTCCAAAATATATATTTACACAATGAAATTATCGATCGAGTTGACAAATACAAATATTTAGGCACTTTTATAAATGAACACAACGATAGCTCATCAGAAATCAAAATAAGAATAGAAAAAGCCAAATCGATATTCACTAAAATGAAGAGATTGTTCTGCGGAAGAGATTTGAGCCTTGAAATGAAACTTCGCCTGATGAGATGTTACGTACTTTCGGTGCTGTTCTACGGAATGGAGTTATGGACGTTGAAAAAGATTGATATCAAAAAATTAGAGGCATTTGAATAAATAAAGAAAAGGAAGTTATATTTACGATCAAAAAACGTAAACTGCAATACTTGGGACACATTACAAGAGGCGAAAGATATGAACTGCTTCGAATAATTATGCAAGGGAAAATAGCAGAAAAAAGGTCCATAGGAAGAAGACTAAACTCCTGGCTAAAGAATCTACGGGAATGGTATAGCTGTAGCAACAACGAATTGTTTCGGTCAGCAGTTTCGAAAATACGTATAGCCCTGATGATCCCCAACCTTCGGAACGAAGATGGCACTTGAAGAAGAAGAAGGATCTAGTCATAGAGAACGTGTTTAACATTATTGATTATATGGATTATATGTTATGCATACTATGCAATACTTACAGCAGAGAATGAAGGTGATTTGCAGGAATTCTTATATTTTAGAAGGAAATTTTAAACACTTAAAAATATTGATCTTAGACAAATGTGTAACATAGTGGATCACATAAGAGGATAGATACTAGACAGAAACTAAGTTGAATAAACACGTAAATAAAATGAGAGAACTCAGTTTAGTAAAAATAGCACAAGATAAATCATCAAACGTTAAGGTTTCAAATGAATACAGTCGTATTAAGAACATTGTATTATTGAGCATGTGCTTATATTAACATTTTTATGTTTATATAATTTGTTACTTCGAATTTCCGTCAAGTTCAGTCAATTCTATAGATATTTTTTATGTAAAATTAGAAATTATCCTTACTTTTAATAATAAAGCCCAGTTTGGTTGTGGCTGAGCTAACATTACCACAAGCTCCAATGCAATATCTGTATCTGGATTATTATTTGTTTTAGAACCTGGTTTTAGCTTGTCGTCAAACAAATTTGGTAAAGCGAATGTTATCCATGGAGCAACTCCAGCAGATCTTGATTTAAACATTTCTACTACGTCTAAACCCCTTCGGAACACCTATGAAAAAAAAAATATATATATAATAACTAAATGTTAAAATTTTCGTTATTGGTTTATTTTATTCAAGAGTAAATACAAATTATTTTTTATTAGCATTTTTAAATAGTATTTTCCTCCCTTTTTTATTGGAAATACTCAAAAACTAAGAATTTACGTACATTTTTTATCTTTGTGTTATCAAAGTGAATGATACGTTGTAGGTATATAATTTGACCATATTATTAAGAGAGGCGTAATACACAGATAATATTTACAGAAAAGCTTCTTCTTTTTTATATAGACATGAATCTGCCTGTTTTTTAATGTGCCTCCAGTAAGTTGTCGTTCCATCGTTTTCGTCGTCTTCCTACTGATCGTCTTACTAACCTAACCTAACCTAACCTAACCTTTCTATTGTAGAACCGTCGCTTGCAGTCTTTACTACTCTATTTGCTGTCCTTTGGCTTGTATGATCGTTCCATTCTACTTTTCTATTTTACCCAGTTCTTGATGTTCTCCACCTTGCATCTACGTCGTATATCTGTACTTCTAGCTCTGTCTTTAAGTGTATTACCATCAATTTTTAGAGTATTTTCATCTCTGCTATCTCTAACATCCTTTTGTCCTGTCTGTGTCAGATCTCGTTTCTGCCACGCGTGTCATTATTGGTCTGATGACTGTTTTGTAAATTCTGCCTTTCGTTTCTTTCCCGATATTTTTATTTCTCCATATTGTTCCATTTAGGTGGTCTGCGGCTCTGTTTGCTCTATTTACTTGATCTTCCACTTCGGTTTCGAGCTTTCTGTAGCTAGATAATGTGATGCCTACATATTTAAACTCCCTAACTTATTCTATTATCTGATCTTTCAGCTCCAATTTACATCTTAGTAAATTTGCTGTTGTAACCATGCATTTTGTCTTTTTTGGGGAAATTAACATGTTAAATCTTCACTTTGAAAGAGTAGTATTGCGTCGTCTGCATATCAGATTATTTTAAGTTGTTTTTCTCCCATTAAAAGTGAAACTGGAACAAACCATAAAGTGGAGATATCCAGGAGTGGCTAGTATACCTGTTGAATACAAAGCACGTGGTGGTCGTGTGTATTAAGGTATAAAAAATGCTTATTAAAAGCTTAAAACTTTTGTTTTAAAGAAGATCTTTTCGGAATAAACTCATTCCATCATCAGTTTACTAAAAGAGAGAGTAAAAATACCAATATTAAAAAACAAGTAAGTTAAAATTTAAATATATAAAAGGAACACTTTGGTTTATTACTACTTACATAAAAAGTTGTCAAAAAAACATTGTATGGACACATGAAAACATAGTAGAGAACTCCGTATTAAAAAACTATCCTCAAGGTGTTTATGAAGGTAAATGCAATAGACTGTTGATTTGTAGATTACTAAAAACTGAAAATGGGGGCATCTTACATGACCCCCTGTAGTTGGTGAGGTTTTATTGACTTACATTACCTCTGATCTGTGTTGGAGTCTAGGGCTAACTGATAGAAAGATGGTATAAAAAATCAGTTAGTACCCGTCAATGTCCAGTGGAATGATGTAGTAGGAGCAAAAGTCATTGTGTTTAAGTTTGTGAATAGGCCGTTTTTAGTGAAGACTTGTGTTTAGTATGTAGTAGAATCAATAGCAATTTTTGGTATTTTAAAAGGTGGAAGAATGTAAAACAATGAGTGACTGTGATGTAAAATAAATCTGGTATACCAGGGTAAGGCAAAATTTAAGTTAGGTATAACCCGACAAGCGAGAGCTGGCGGGTTGCGCGTAGAACAAATTGAAAAGTGGAATGGATTGCTTATTTCTATTGCAGTCGTCTAGGAGTTCACATCGTGTATAACCGTTTAAGTACCTATACTATATACCTATAATCGCGATTAAGTACTCTATCCTATCTCTCTTAGAATAATTTCTTTTCTATTTTTGCGCAGCTCACCCGCCGGCACTCGCTTGTCGGATTATAGTTGAAATTAATAAATCATTTTATAGGCGATAAAACGAATGTTGTTACCTAATTGTTTCTTTGTATGAAGTAAGTATAGATAAAAAAATTTTAACTTACTTGTTTTTTAATATTGGTATTTTTACTCTCTCTTTTAGTAAACTGATGATGGAATGAGTTTATTCCGAAAAGATCTTCTTTAAAATAAAAGTTTTAAGCTTTTAATAAGCATTTTTTTATACCTTAATACACACGACCACCACGTGCTTTGTAAAAGAATTAAGGTCAATTTAAATAAGGTACGCGGCTCAGCACCAAAGCAAAATAAAAATAAACGAGGTGATAGCACTTCATTCGAGGAGAGTGAAGAACTAATCAATTCCGATGATTCATCTGGCGATGAATGTGAACATTTACAGTTGGAAGACGATTATGGCATTGATGCTAGTACAGAAATTTGCCATTGATAGTTTTGTATTAGTGAAATTTACAAACAATATATTTTATGTGGCTAAAGTTCTCAAGACATTAGACGATAATGAATTTAAAGTGCCATTTTTAAGAAAAAGTGGTGAGTTTCAAGGCTGCTTTATTTTTCCTTTAGTTGAAGACATTGCTGCAGTAGCAAGGTCAGACGTTGTATTAATTCTATCAAAACCAAAAAATGTAGATAAAAAAAAATCAAGCGCCTTGCATCTTATTTCAAATTTGATGTAAATTTTGACAGTATTAAAATCTGTTAAAATTTTCTTTCATTTCAGTTTTTCTATTGTACCTGTAAAATTACTATTTTCAATAGTAAAAACTACACTCTATGTATTTATTTTAACAAATTATTGAAATAATACTACCACTTGACTCATTGTGTACCACCAATGGTACACAATGAGACAGATGTAGACGGTTAGAAAAAAATCATATATTTTGTTTCTTCACTCATGAGGAAATATATATTTCAGATTATATTGAGGAAATAATCATATTGATACCTGGTTAACTCAGTTTGTAGACAAATTAAAAAATGTCACTGTCAGAAATAAAAATGTGTTTTTTGTCTCATTGTGTACTACCCTCCCCTACTCTTGTTACCATCATCTCCCAATTCTTGTAGTATTATAGAGTAAAATATTAATCAATTGATTATACGCGTATAACTAAAACATCATAAAAAATGTGTTTTGCAGTACCTAGTCTTTTGATAATTTGGTAGTGGCAAAAATACAGTAAGTATGTATTTCTTTACCTTATGTAGAAGATCAATTGGTGCTCCTCTCAATAATAAACAAGTGTATAGTTCTTGACATTTAGTGTGAATGTCCCTTAATATTTTACTACTGGAACTGTACGAGACTCCAATGAGATCTTTGGCATTGTTACATATAGCTGGAAGAAGATTTGCAACACACACCAATAAATTGCTTATATCTACCACTATAAGCTGACTTCTTATTTCAGAAGGTACGCTCTAAAAATTAAATAACCTTTAAAATTGTATTATTGTAATAAAACTAATAGTGCTGATGAATTATTTGAATATACAATCAAATAATCTTTGCAAGTAGAAAAATCATAGAATAATGGATATGATACAAATAATATTTATTATTAATGACCTGTCCTCCTCCTCATTCCTTGATCCCTTCTCAGGGCGTGGTGATAATCTAAATATTATTGGCTTTCTGCCTCCATTGACTGCAACCCTGTGCCATATAGATGGCTTCATGTAGTGATTTTCTTACCAGAGTTTTCAATAGGTTTGCACATCCTGTTGGACATCCTCTTGGTCTTCGGCCTTCTTTTGACCATTACTTCTACTACCAATACCTCGATGGTCACCGTTCTTCTAGTTATGTGGCCGAAGTAAATTAGGTATGCTCGTTTTACTTTTTTTAATAGCCTGTCTTTTATATGAAGCTCTTCCAAAACTGACAGGTTGATTCTATACTCCGTCCAGGACACGCGTAGAATTCTTCTATAGACCCACATTTTGAAGGCTTCGATCTTATTCCTACCGATTTTTTTTGAGTGTCCATGTTTCAGCTGCGTATGTAGCAATGGGAAAAATAAGGGCATTGACAAACCTGAGCTTAGTATTGGTTGTTATTGTTATATTTTTATTCCTTGTCATGATCTGTACAAGTACAAGGCATTCAATTAAAATAAATAGCTTTTTATAATAAATTTTATTTGAAAAAGAAAAGCAAAAGAATGTGACTGTATCTACTTTTTTACACAATTGCCACCAAACCTAGGCATATACCGAGGTCTTGATAGGTCCATCTTAAAATCGTTAAGATGTTTATCTGCATTTTCATGGAGGTCTGCCTTTTGATTTTATTTCCAGTGCTAATGGTGATTTTTACTTGATCAAAGTCGTGGGAGTGTTTAGATGATTGTTTAAAGGAGGAGTGATACTTTCTTGGAGGGGGTGCTTATAGTACAAAAATTATGTCATCGATGAAGTTTCATTTCTTAGAATTAACATTCGTATATTATTTACAGGTTCGCACCTCTACATGTACCAGTACATCCCTAATGATTTTCCGTTATAACCTTAACTGATCTAATTACTATTTAACTGGGAATAAGCCACAATTAAAGATAAAAATACATTTATTGACGTTTCAATTTCCACTTCGGAAATCGTTCTCAAAATACCGATTTCCGAAGTGAAAATTGAAACGTCAATAAACGTATTTTTATCTTTAATTGTGGCTTATTCCCAGTTAAATAGTAATTAATTTAAAATGCCACAAGAAAATAGCGTCAGAACAATCTTAACTGATCTCATGATAAAAAACAGATAATGTCACGTCTTTAATTATAATAATATTAATCGCAACTCGTATTTCACTTTCAGTGGGAATTCTTAATAGGCTAGAATCTTTTGAGTGCTAACAATGTCGAATATTTCCATAATAGCTTTTGGTTTCTCCTTACGACGGAGTAACATATAATTTACGCCGTATATAACGCTAGCTTCTTGGACTTACTAATGGAGACATAGTTAGAAACGAAGAAATAAGAAGAAGTACAGGCGTCAAACATGTTACAGAGAAAGTGGAACTGGCCATGTGGCCATAATTTATGACGGGTAGTGAATTAAAGAAAACTAAATATTATTCAGGTCTATGCTCCAACAAGTGACAAGTCAGACGAAGAAATCGAAAAATTTTATAACAACATAGATGAAATAATGCGACTAACAAAAAAAGGTGAGATAACGGTGATCATGGGTGACTTTAACACTAAAATTGGTCGTGGTGCTGAAGGAGACCCTATAGGAGCATACGGTCTAGGTACCAGGAATAATAGAGGAGATAAACTTCTACGTAGAAAACAATATGTTAATAGCCAATACCTTCTTCAAACAACATTCTAGAAGGCTATACACCTAAAAATCACCTGCAGACGGAAAAGACAAAATTGTTAGAAATCAAGTTGACTTCATTTTGCTCCTTTCATCAACACCTTTAAGACCAATCAACACCTTTAAGAAGTACATCCAATCTATGAAAACGTACCCTGGAGCTAATATACATAGCGATCACAATCCAGTTATAAGGAATTTTAGATTAAAAAGATTTCTCAAAGTCAAAAAGAAAATAGTGACAAGAAAAACAGACATCTCACAACTGAAGAACCCTAAACAGAAAAAAGAAATATGAATCAAGCTTGAGGAAGAAATAAAAACGATCGAAAACTTAGTACAGACAGACATTGAAGTGACATGGACTGCTCTTAAAACAAAAATACCCAATATAGAAGAAGAAGACATCGGGTTCATAAAACACAACAAAAAACAAGAGATAACGGAAGAGATCATGGACCTTATGGACGTAAGACGAAAACATAAAACAAGCCCAATAGAATACAAACGAATCAATAAAATCATTAGAAAAAAGTGCAGGGAGGCGAAAGAAAACTGGATGTCAACAAAATGCCTAGAAATCGAACAACTTCAGGAAAAATAAGACACCTTTAATATTTATAAAAAAGTAAAAGCAATGACAGGTAGACACAAAAAGAGACAAACAACATTATTAAAAAAATGATAATAACGAAATAATTGTGGGTACAGAAGACAAACTAGAGAGATGGAAATAATACATACAAACCCTTTTTGACGACGATAGACCTTGCTCTCCACCATCCACAGATAATTGAATAAATGAAAAAGGCCCAGAAATAACCAAAGAAGAAGTGATTCACGCAGTAAAATCTCATAAAAATGGAAAAGCCACCGGTTGAGACAATATCAATGTCGAAATACTAAAACTAATTGCAGATAACGAAAGTAAAAGCCTGGACTTAATAACAGCACTATTCAGTAAGATATATGACACAGGTAATATACCAACTGACTGGCTAAAATCAACATTCGTAGCATTACCAAAAAATCGAATTCCTCACAACGCGATGATTATCGAATATTAAGCTTAATGTCTCATGTCCTTAAAATGTCTCATGTCCTTTTCTCAGAATGATCCACACACGAATTTACCAGAAGTGCGAGTTCCAGATAAGTGACACTCAATTTGGATTTTGAAAAGGGTTGGGAATACAAGAGGCTCTTTTTGCTTTAAGTTTGTTAACGCAACGATGCAGAGACATGAATGTAGATGCATATGTATGTTTTATTGACTATCGAAAAGCATTTGACTGCTTTATTCATCAAAAGATGATCGAAATTCTGAGAACACCTGGAGTTAATAAGCAAGACTTGCGAATTATCTCAGAACTATACTGGCACCAAACGGCAACAATTGAAATAGAGCACACAACATCCAAAGATATACAAATCCGACGAGGAGTGAGACAGGGTTGCGTCTTATCACCGCTACTGTTTAATTTGTATTCAGTGTCTATATTCAGAGAAGCATTACACCAGGTCCAAGGCGGAATTAAGATTAACGGAATCAGCACGAACAATATAAAATATGCTGATGATACTGTCTTAATAGGACGCAACGCACAAGAACTACAAAATATAATAAATGCGGTAGTTCACCACAGCGAAACGTTTACATCTAAATGTTTCCAAAACTAAAACTTTAGTATTTTCAAAGACACCAATAAACGTACATGTTTATGCCAAGGGTAAATTATAGAACAGCTAAATTCCATAAAATATTTGGGAACAAATATCAATCGTCAGTGTAATCAAAAAAAAAAAAAAGAAATACTATCAAGAATCGAACAAGCAAGGAAAACATTCATGAGCATGTGTTGTGCAATGTGCAATGAATACACATTCATTGATATGTATATATACAGACGAATGTTGAGAATTCCATGGGTACAAAGAGCTACTAATGTTATGGCACTGCGAATGTATAAACAAAAATAATTACCAAGAATATTCAAAGAGCGGAAAATGCAATGCAATATTTGGGTCATGTGTTTAGAGGCGCAAGCAAGATATGAATAACTTCAAGTTGTACTGGAAGGAAAAGTACAGGGCAAAAGATCAGTAGAAAGACGCCAGAACTCATGGCTAAAAGACATGAGGAGATGGTTCGACCGCTCATCCGCAGAAATATTTTGCGCAGCAGTTTCCAAAACCACAATTGCTATTTGGATCGCCAACCTTCGAAAGAAAACGGCGCCATGAGAAGAAGTGAATCCAAAAAATTACAGTGGAGACCATGAGCTAACAGAAGGAGCAGAGGTAGACTACTTACATGATGGACAGACGACGCCAAAAGAATCGCTGGAAATCGACTGCAGAAAGCTTAAGACTTACACGGCTGGAAGAAATTAAGGGAGGCAGAGGTTTAGTTTTGCACGCAGAAAGCTTGATGATGATGATGATGATGATGATGATGATGATGATGGTGATGATGTTTATTTCAATATCATAGGTACAACATTTTAAAACCATATATATTTTAAAAACTTGAATCGAATTTTGATAAAATCGAAGTTATTATTGATTGCTATATTTACCTGAGTGTATCTAACAGTCAAAATAGTCAATGATTCATTTAACATTCCTGCGAATACTCTTTGAGCCATTTTCGGCGGTACTGTATTCCATAGATCGTCCTTTGTACCTAACAAAATGATTAAATGTTTATATTTTTGAAATTGTAAAATTGTCTATAGATTTGTATTTACAAATACAGTGGAACCTCGATTATCTGTCAGGGCACCGGACCAAGGGTATGGTTATTGAATTGACAAGACGGTTAACAGAACATTAAAAAAAATTCATAGTATAACTCCCAAATTTTATTTGTATGTTTTATTTGACAATATAAGAGGGATTTATATTAGTACAGTCGAATTAATTTGATTTAAATTATTCCGAAACCTTTGTTTGTTTTATTGTTACTTCACATTTTGCAACGGCTGAATTTCTTATCTTAATCAACATAAAATCATCAAATCTAGCTTCTTTATGCGAATCTTTGAGAGTTATAATAACATCATCAACATCGCCACCATCAAAGTCTTTGTCAGCTTCTGAATCAGTTTCGTTCTCCTCTGTTACACATGACAAACTTACCATTCGTTTATGTTATCTTTAAGGCCGTATAACACTATCATTTCTTATATCGTTTCTGAAAAAGAAAGTTATTTATGCACTATGCAAGTTCTTTTTCCCGGAAATTGTATGTGATTTGGCACATGATTGGTCGAAATTTTGACACCTATAAAAATATAACTGATACAAGTACTTGGGTATGAAGTGATGAATACAAGTACTTGGGTATGAAGATGACACAAGATAACACAAGATGGAACACTCGATGCTGCCATAAAAGACAGAAACATACAGGGTAGAAAAGCCATATCCATGATGAACGGCATTCTGTGGGACCAAACAATACCTAAAGCGAACAAACAACCCATAACACCATACTTAAAAGTGTAATCCCATATGGCAGTGAAGTTTGGCCAATGAAACAAAGAACAGAGAAACTGTTACTAGCAACAGAAATGGACTTCTGGAGAAGAGCAGCAGGCAAATTAAGAAGAGATCGGATACCAAATGAGAGAATACGAAAAATGATGGGAGTCAAGCATACAATAGTTGATGACATAAAAACAAAACAGTTAATATGGTACGGCCATGTACAGAGAATGCTAGATGACAGGATTCCGAAACAGACTTTGACGTGGACACCACAAGAGAGAAGGAAAAGGGGAAGACCGAGAAGAAGCTGGAGGGAGAATTGAAAAAGAACTAGAGGAAAGAGAAATCCCTCCAGGCCTATGGTTGAATAGAGAAGAATGTCGGTTATGAGTCGGAAGGCGTCGGAGAACGCTGTAAACCGATAGTAGTAATAGTAAAAATATAACTGCAGTACCTGAGGAAACCAAGCTACTGGGGTCTGAGGACATATGCTACTGATTAGTTTTTAAAATACTGTAGTGCAAAAATGAAAGAAATAAAATGTCCCAATACTAAAACTAAATTAGAAACCACAATTTTTGAAGATATTCAACAGGCTGTAATGGAAGACAGAAATAATAAATAATTTGGTTGTAATAAATTATTTTTTTTAATTATGTATTTGAATAGCATGCTCTTGAATTTCTACTCTCTTATTTGGAGATATAAAATAATCTTTAAACTCATCACGAATTTTTAGAGCGATTATCTATTGTTTTTAATAAAACATCTCCGCCTAGTTTCAGTAGTTCCGATGCTATTTGATCCAATCAATATGATTTGTTGTTTTTCAATTTGGCTACTGATGTTCTAATCTTGGTTATTGTTGGTGGGCACTTTTCTCTGATGTCTGCTTGGTCTAATTGTATATCAAAGTTCTCCTCCAGCCGCAAAGATGACAGAAGTTTTACGTTTTTGCGGCTTTGGGCACAAATTGGCATATTTCTTGTACAAGAAAATGCAGCAGACACAAATTCTTGTATGGTTTCTGATATAAGAAACTATACACTTGTATGACACTATCACTTTTTTTGTTATATCAGAAACGATAAAGAAATGATACATACATACATATTCTGGCAAAGAATATTACTCTTCCATAACTAGGTTTTGAATACATTTTTTTCTGTATCTTCTTTTGAATGTTTTAATGACCGAATGATCCATTGGTTGTATCAACGATGTTGTATTCGCAGGCAGAAAAGAGTACGTGATATTTTTATCATCACTCCGCAGCATACCGGCTTTATGATGGGCAGGTGCATTGTCCAAAATGAGAATCGTCTTTGGTGGAAAATTGTTTGCAAACAAAATGAATTGATGACTAAATTTTTACTTATGTTGTCAATATAACTTATGTATGGACCCTGACGGTTAACAGAGGTGACGGTTAATAGAGAGACGGATAATCGAGGTTCCACTGTAGAAAGATTAATATTTACAAAATAGCTTTTAGGCAATCACCATTTGTTTGCTGTGGAGCAGCAATGACAGAACAATTAACAACATTAATTAATAAAATTATAAAACACAATAAAATACCAGAAGAATGGAGAACGAGCGAACTAATTCTACTATTTAAAAAAGGAGATAAAAATAGCCAGAAAATTACAGAGATATAAACTTGGTAAATAATACGCTAAAACTTTTAACTAAAATTTTTACAAGTGCTAATAAATTAGAGGATAAGTTCAACAGATGGACAATAGGGTTTTCGTTGTGGAAGATCGTGTACAGATGTAATATTTGTTATAAAGCAAATTACTTAGAAATCACTAGAGTATAATAGACCAGCATTTTTGTGACTGATTGACCTAAAGAAAGGGTTTGAGAGAGTAAAACTCAAAGATGTAATCCATCTTCTGTGTAATAGAGAAGTTTTCCTAAATATTATAAAAACTATCGAAAACATCCACCAAAACAACAAAATGGAAGTCAGAATAGATGGACAACTTACAGAACCTATTGAAATAGGCAGCGGAATAAGACAAGGGTATTGATTAAGTCCCATGCTCTTCAAGAGGATAGAGAATGGGAAACAAAGAAATCAAAATACTCTACTACGCAGACGACGCAATATTGATAGCCCAAGATGAAGATAGTTTGTCTTCTTCTTAGAAGAAGACTGGTCTTCTTCTCATGGCGCCGTCTCCTTTCGAAATTTGGCGATCCAAATAGCAATTGTAGTTTTGGAAACTGCTGCGCGAAAGATTTCTGCAGATGAGCGGTCGAATCATCTCCTCAGGTCTTTCAGCCATGAGCTCTGGCGTCTTCCCACTGATCTTTTGCCCTTTATTTTTCCTTCCAGTATAACTCGAAGTAATTCATATTTTTCGACTCTCAACGTATGACCCAATTATTGCATGTCCCTCGCTTTGATTATTCTTAGGAATTATTTTTGTTGACATATCCGACGAAGTACCTCAACATTAGTAACTCTTTGTACCCATGAAATTATCAACATTCGTCTGTATATATACATCTCAAAAGCATCTATTCTTTTTTCTATTTCAGAGTCCATTGTCCAACTTTCACATCTATACAGTAAAACAGAAAAAAACGTAACATCTAATCATTCGGATTCTAAGCTGCAGACTAAGGTCTGATCTTGTAAAAAATGTTTTCATGCTCATGAATGTTTTCCTTGCATGTTCGATTCTTGATAGTATTTCTTTTTTTGGATTACACTGACTATTGATATTTGCTCCCAAATGTTTTATGGAATTTACCTGTTCTATCATTTGACCCTTGGCATACACATGTATGTTTATTGGTGTCTTTGAAAATACTAAAGTTTTAGTTTTGGAAACGTTTAGATGCAAATCCAACATTTCGCTGTGGTGAACTACCGCATTTATTATATTTTGTAGTTCTTGTGCGTTGCTTGCTATTAAGACAGTATCATAAGCATATCTGATGTTGTTTATGCTGATTTCGTTAATATTAATTACGCCTTGGATCTGGTCTAATGCTTCTCGGAATATAGACTACGAATACAAATTAAACAAAAAAGACTGATCTACATGTTTAATATAAGAGCAAAAGAAATTAATATGCCCATTTCATCTCAGCCTTCCATAGACAGCCTTCTAGAAAGAAGAATATGATTTCGAATCTTAGCTTGGACAAATACCGTGACACGAGTTTTTATATATAAAAATAGCTCAATTTGATAAATAATCTCAGGGTTTTACGTCATTCAATCACAGAAATGCACAACCAATATTCAGAAGAAGCTTATGGATAAATAAAATTTAAAAAAAAATCTATATATACACCGGTATTTATGCGGCACGCCCTTCCGGTAAGGATCTATGGAGGAGTATCACAGAGCAGCAAGCCGTTATCTCTTGCCGTACTGCTTCACCATAGGCCGTTCAGACACCAGCATATTCTAGTCTAAGCCGCAGATTCATCTAGATTTTTAAACTGCTGCGCTAGCCTTTTTATTTTCTGTACACCGAGCTGGAGATCGAACCCACATCCACTGAACCACTCGCAGTGAACCGAATGAGAACCGGCCGCCCAGCCCGCTTGGCTATCTGACCGACAGAATAAATTATAACCGTAGGTATATTAAAAAACTGTTTCTACCAAAGAAATAAACACAAATTTTAATGACAGCATAAATTGCAAAAAAAAACAAACAATCTATAAAAAGAGAAAGTAATTAAATATAAAAAAGCCTTTAAAAATTCTGCAAGTTATTTTAAAATAGAAAGTTACCCAGTATAGATACAATGATGAATTATGGTTGCAAGAAATAATTTAAAATTACGAAATTGTTTATGTAAAAATTCTTGTCAAAATAAACTGAAGTTTTTATATGTCGATGAAACAAAAGTTCTCGCTACGGAGAATATTGTTAGAAAGAAATATGGAGGTATATCTGAAGGAGGTGTCTCTACACTCACTGTCGTTTTCTTTCATTCCAAAAACTCTCTGGGCTTAACAGCCGCCCTTTTATCAATAAATTTCCTCCCTTTTCAATGGTCAAAACAAATATGCCTCTTTCTTCATTTCAACGTTTTCAAATTTTCTAGTCTTTAACATTTTACTTTAACATTTTATAGAAATTCCAATGAAAGGAATGGAAGCTTGGACATTGAAGAAACAACACATAAGAAAAATAGAAGCGTTCGAAATGTGGTGTTACAAAAGAATATTAAAAATTCAGTAGGTTCAAAGGATTACCAATGCTGAGGTACTAAGACGTCTAAATAAGGAGTTAGAAATTATGAACAGCATAAAAAGAAGAAAACTAGAGTATTTGGGTCACATAACCAGAAGAGAAAAATATGAGCTGCCGAGAATTATTATGCAAGGAAGGATCCAAGGAAGAAGCAGCATATTAAAAAGACGCATCACCTGGCTGAGGAACCTTAGAGAATGGTTTAACTGTAGTTCACTACAACTTTTCAGAGCAGCAGTCAACAAAGTGACCATAGCCGTTATGATATCCAACCTCCGATAGGAGATGGAACTTTAAGAAGAAGAAGGAACTCCAAATTCCCGACTTCTTTCAACCAACCGTTTTCGTTAATCTTACGTTCAAACACAAATTGTTCTTCAATGCACTTCAAAACCAATAAACAAATTCCATGAATATAATCGATTACACTACAAATATGTTAACAAAGACAACTTTATACTGGGTAAAACCAATACCTATGTTAACAATAGACAAACAAATCGGTATTTTACATTATAAATGCAAGAAACATTTTTTTTAAACTACTTTAGTGTATTACAAAATGACAAATTTTATGTATAGAATAGATAGATTTTGTTCCTCTTCTTCTCTGTCCTTATTTATCCACAATAATATATACAGAGATATGTATATACATGCCATTTAAATATTGTATTAATTATCGTTTATTTTTATGGATATAGTCCCTTACAACAAATTGTTTGGGGAAAAGTATATAGAAAATGAAGGTTCAACAGGATTGCGCATTTGTTAGTTGCAAAATAACAAAAATATTTTAACTTATTACCATGAACTGTCTCATTCAGCTGTAAGTATCAGCAGGTAATTTGTTGTGTATATTGACGATTATTAAGCTTTCCTGAACAATCAGCCATGATAAAAAAGGGAATAAAATAATGCCTATTGCTTTTTTACCTACCTTGCATATATAACCACCACATTTGTATTATATAAGATCCTCTTTCTGATTCAAAAAACGGTTTCTCACTTTCCCAGTCCAAACATTCTGCATCTTGCAAAATATACAGAGATAAAAGTCTACAGTGCAGATCCAGTAAACGTTCCGCTAAAGCTTCACACATTTCATGATATTTCTTGTAGCTACTTTGTAACTCTTCGATACGGCATTGCTTATCCTCCTTGATTATTTTAATATAAAACCATAAACAATTCTTTAAAAGTGCTGAAGCACCTATTGTGCCTGTAAGAACGGTTAGGTCTGCGTGATCTAATGCTTCTTGAGTCAAAATATGAAGGTGAGCTGCAAAAATATAAAAATATTGTTTGTTTTACTGCTTCGAATGCACTAATCACTTCAGGTTATGGGGCCAGTTATGTGCCAGTAATGGAATAGTTTGTGATTCGAAGGGTAAACAGGAATTTGGATCTTGGAATTTTGGAAGTCTGGAAACGTGAACGTGACCGAAACAAAGAGAGCAATGGCGGTCAATCTACAGGTAGCAAAATTTATACAATTTGAAGGTACATGTTTTTCGAATTGGAAGTTTCGCATGGAATTAATATTGGAACAAAATGATTTGCTGAAAATTTTACAAAACATATTTAATGACACCTTAAAAAAGAATGATGCTAAAGCAAGGAGTCTTATAGTTCAATGCTTAGCGGATAATGTGATACAGATTGTAAAAGATAAAAAGACAGCCAGATATATGTTCAATACTTTAAAAGATACATATTTGCAAAAAGGTTTGTCTGTTCAAGTTGAAATTCAACGTAAATTAAGAAATATGGGGTATGCTAGTGGAAAATTAATAGATTTTTTAATGCTTTTTTTAAAAACACAGTGACAGATCTGAAGAATAGTGGTGGAACAATTGAAAAACCCGAAATTGTTAGCTGCTGTGTCGGAGTCAACATAGCGTAACAACATCAGTGGATCGCTCAAAGGAAAATAATCCGGTGAAACGGAAACACTGGATAACAGATGAAACTCTTAAAATAATTGAAATAATTAGAAGAAATCTTTGTAAAAGTGGTGTACATAGTGAAAGGAAAAAAGCTAGTTTAAGAAACCTCAATAAAGAAATAAAACGAAGATATAAGGCCGACAAAAAACAGTACTATCAAAGTATATGCAAAGAAATTGAGAGACATGGTCAGAATAATCAGCCGAGAGATCTATTTAGAAAAATACGCTACATGACAAGAGACTTCAGAGCCAGAACTTGGGCTATTGAAGATAACACTGGAATCCTGAGAACAAACAGAGAAGACATAGCAGAGACATAGAGATCGTATTGCAGGGACCTATATAAAGATGATCAACGCCAAGAGCTTGTTAGCCGAATCTCTGACGAGGTGGAAGAAAAACCTGATATACTCAAAAATTAAGTAAGACAGGCTATCAACAAGATCAAATATAACAAAGCACCAGGTCCAGATATGATAACAGCAGAAATGATTAAAGCCACAGAAGAAACCGGCGTAAAGTTACTTCATCTACTCTGTAACCAAATATGGCATTCCAAACAATGGCCTGAAGACTGGACAAAATCTACAATAACGACCATACATAAAAAAGGCAGCTTCCATAAATGCGACAATTATGGAACTATCTCTCTTTTATCCCATGCCAGCACGATAATGCTACATATAATCAATGAGAGACTGAAAACATTCCTTCAAAGAGAAATTCCACAAGAGCAAACTGGATTTACCAAAGGTAGAGGCACCGTGGAACACCTGCTGAATATAAGACAGATAATCGAGAAATATAGGGAATTCAACATCCCACTATACATCTGTTTTATAGATTACCGTAAAGCGTTCGACAGGGTCAAGTGGAGACCCTTATGGCTAATACTGAAAGAAGTAGGCGTACCACAACATATAATTACGCTTATAACTGAACTATATGAACACACTACCGGGTCAGTTAAAGTACTTGACACACTTTCGAACGAGTTTCATCCAGAACGGGGTGTCAGACAAGGATGTATACTATCTCCACAATTATTCAACATATATGGAGAGTATATTATGCGAAGAGCACTTGAAGGATGGGAAAGAGCATCTCAATAAATGGTCATAAACTAAACAATCTACGTTTCGCAGATGACACAGCCCTTCTTGCAAATAGTCAAGCAGAACTGATGGAACTTATACGACTGATCGAAAACGAAAGTCAAATATTTGGTCTGCAATTAAACATATCAAAGACAAAGATCATGATAGCGGATAGACTACACAACAATCATCCACACATAACCACAATTGACCGGTTCGAGGTTGTGAGCTCATACTTATATCTGAGATCATTAATCACAAACACAGGGTCATTACAAGAAGAGATTAAACGTAGATGTGATCTAGCAAAAGTTGCCACAGCAAAAATGACCAAAATATGGAAGGAATGTCAAATTTCAAGAGCGATAAAGATGAGGTTGATCAACTGTTTAATATTCCCAATACTGACCTACGGATGTGAATCTTGGACTCTGAGACAATCGAAGAGAAAAAAGATAGACGCCACTGAAATGTTCTGTTGGAGACAAATGTTACGAATTCCTTGGACCGACCGTAGAACAAATAACTCAATTTTAAGAGAGCTAAAAGTTAGCCAACGACTCTCTAGTAAAGTCCATCTCCAACAATTAAAATATTTTGGGCATGTTATGAGAGCAAACACAGAAAACATGAAAAGACTCATAATACAAGGAAAGGTAGAAGGCCGAAGATGCCAAAGACCTATGCATGAATTAAAAGAAATGACCAGAGACAGAGATCTCTGGAGACGGACTATACACGACATCACGTCGACCACTACACTCCCCTTGGGGGGTCAGGATTGAAGAGAGAGAGTGTCGGAGTCATATCAAGCAACAGTCACAGCAAATGACATTATTTTCAGTCAAGATCCAACTAGAATTGATTTTAATATGGTGAAAAATAAACTCTTACGGGAAGAATCTCGTCAAGGAAATTTTCATAAAAATAATGAAGAATCCACAGCAGTTTTCTTTGCTAATAAAAATCGATATCACTATGGACGTCAACAGAATTCTCAATGGGCCACACATGGTCCTGGAAATCATAGTAGAGAAGGACGATGGAATAATGGACGACAGTTCAATATCTATCAAACTAGACAATATCTAGTAGTGGGACAAGGACAGGTCAATTTTCGATTTAAGTGCGGTAAAATTGGACATAAAAGAAATGAGTGCATGGTAGGTGCAAGTGTCCGTTCAAATCAGGTTGAAGAAGAAATTTCATTTCTTACTGAACTAAATGAATTTTAATCGCCACATCCTAATACACATATAGTTTTGTGTAACAAAAAAAAGGAGCTTGTTGAGGTAGATGGTCCATCAAATGTCAGAATTGTCAATCTGAGTTTTGACAGAGATGAAACAATAATTGATAAAAGTGTAAACAAAAACGTTAACTTTATAATAGACTCTGGTGCCACAAATCATTTGATAAATGCAGTTTCAGGAAGTTTTTTAATGGAAATTAAAACTGTAGCTCATAATATTAGTGTAGTAAAGCAAGATGTAACCATAAAAGCTGAAAAGAGTGGCAATTTACATGCTTTAAGTAATGTCGGTTTTAAACTCAATCTGAAAGATATTTTACAGTGCAACGAATTGGAATATAATCTGTTAAGTTTAAATAAAATGGAGCAGGCAGGTCTAACAATTATATTTGAAAATGAAAAAGTACAGGTATACCGTAATTCTAATTTAAACATAAGTGAAATGTTAAGAGGAAACTTATATACAGTGTGGAAACCACTTATGGAATAAAATTGTTTGTGTCCTTACTATAGAAAATAGTCAAAACTCTGGGACACGTTAACTTTTAAATTTAAATGTGCGCTTTTTAAACATAAGTTTAAATGTACAGGGTGATCCACGCACGTCTGGCCTAGTCTATAATCCTTATTTTTAATGAAACACCCTGTATATTTTTATGTTTTTAAAATACTTTTAACAACCTGATTTCAATGAACTATATCATGTAGGGTCTATAATAAATAATACAAGGTGAAATTTTGAAATTAATAATTTATCACGTGTTATGATATTATTTTAAATTAGCTAAATACAGACAATAGACTTCTACTCTAAGTGTTAGTACACTGTATATTGGGGAAAATTTCTGTTTAGTAACCGTGTTAACATTTTTTGTCGTGAATAGGTGAAAACTGTATAGATAGTCTGTTAATTAAACTAATTGGCGAATGGATTTAGTGTCCGCAGTCATTTAAACACAAACAAACAACAAACAATTAAACTAAATCGGTAAATAATGCGGATTGTTATCAATGAGTTGACATGCTGTTGACATTTTACATTAAAATAATAAATTCTTAATTAAAAACTAATTTCTTGCAGAAATAAAAATGCAATATTTAACTAAAGCCCACCGAATTAAGATTTTAATGATGATCGGTTACGGGGAGAATTGTAGAAGTCAAGTTGAAGTAGTAAACTTATTTAATCAGAGGTATCCTCAGTTGCCTAATATTTCACAAGGTACTGTGTCTAAAATTTACACAAGGTACTGTGTCTAACATTTAAATGCACAATTCAGAGAACTTAGATATGCCAAACCATTAAAAAGAAAATCGAACTTCACTGAAGATGAAGTGAAAGTGGATATTTTGTTAAGTGTCGCAGAGAATCCAACATTAAGTTCACGTCAAATTGCACGTCAAAATAATGTGAGTCACACAACTGTCCTAACGTGTCTCTATGAAGAAAACTTCATCCATATAAATTGACATTTGTGCAGGAGCTAACAGAAGACGATCCGGATCGTAGAATGGATTTCTGCAAAAGAATGATGGATAAAATTAACAAATGAAATAGCTCTTGGCACAATTCTTTTTTCTGATGAATAAAAATTTAGATTGAAAGGAGAGGTAAACTAACACAACTGTAGATATTGGTCAGCGGAGAATTCTCATTAGATGCGTGAGACACACACTCAGTATCCTCAAAAGTTGAATGTTTGGGCAGGTATTATAGGAGATCATATTATTGGTCCTATATTTATAGATAATAATTTGACAGCGGAAAAATATTTAAGCATGCTAAGTGACGATGTTCTTTCTTAGTTGAGTAGGGAGGAAATAGCGTAGGAGCAGAGGAGCACGGAGCACCTGCCCTAATTTGCATACACCTGTCCCTAATTTGCATACACCTGCCCTAATTTGCATACACCTGTCCCTAATTTGCATACACCTGCCCTAATTTGCATACACCTGTCCCTAATTTGCATACACCTGCCCTA